ACGTATATGCCGATGACGATGGATTGGCTGGTATCGCTGGCGTTAGCTATTTTCATTCTCGGACGGTTCGCAAAGCTGCGCGCGCATTCGGGGCGCGCAGGGTGGATGCGGAGGTAGAAAGGAGAGGTGTCCCGAAACGTACATAGAGGCATGAAAGAATTGCGATACGCCGCCAAGGATCATAATTACACCTACGACGAGGTTGACGATTCGGCTGCGATGCGGACGGTGTTAGCACAAACGAAATTCGCCTTCGACCCATCGCGTCCATACTCATGCGATAACTCAGCGTGAAAGGGTTGGAAAAGCATACAAGGAGTCGGAGAAGTCCATCTTTGCTGTGTAATGCCGGCGCGCGCCCTTTCAGGGTTGTACGGTTATGATGCTTGCGGTCGCGTCTTCGACGGTCGACGGTTGACGGGGAAGTGTGAGGACTGCACTGAAATAGAGGGCGTAAAAGATATCGTCTCCGAAGTCTCGACCGAATAGAGCCGAGTTGGGTGGTACGCAAGAGAGAGAAAGGATGACGAGGCTGATGTGTTGTTGGCTAGGCAGATGCTTTTACGAGCTTCTTGTTCGTGGAAAAGTGTTCAGGAGGCTGCAGGTGGCTACGGTAGTTCGACCAAGCTCCAGAGCTTCGCAATCTGCAGCAGGGGGCTAAGATAGACCCACCCAGTCCTGATGGGGCCCTGTCGTCATTGCTGAGACTTTCCCGTCGGGACTGCCCAGCTGTCGAGCCACAGGCCGTGACACCTGGCCACAGCGAGCTAGGTACTGCGCCTAGATAAACCAGGAAGCCACGAGAGGCCCACATTTTTGGATCATGTCCAATCAGGACTTGTGTTGGACTGCGTAGGCACGTTGTCGTGGAGCTTTCCGTAGCTCCCTATCGTAAATTGCGTTCCGAAAAATCGCGGGTACCCAACATCTCGCACCTCATCCTTCTCCAGTTTCCACTCTCCTCGAATGAAGCTCGTACTACAACAACTCACACTTTAACGCGACCTACGCAGACGCCACTGCCTACTTGTTCACCATTCTTCAGACTACTGACTGTGCCAACACATATCGCACAGTCGCGCTCACTATTCCCCGCGTATCTTCTACACTACTTTATGCAATTCGAGTCTCCCAAGATTTCCAACGAGATCCAACAGCGAAACGCTTCACAATCCCCTCCTCCCTCCTCCCAATATGGCCCCCGGCTCGATGATGCGAGTGGCTCGCCCCACAGCCCTCTCCAGCAGCCTCAGCAGCGAGATCGCAGTATGTCGCCGCGCTCGATCGGCGACGCGGACGCGATCGACTCCCCGGACCACGGCGACCACGGCGTCCACGCCGACTTCCTCGAAGAGCGACTGCGCCGACTGAGTGTCGGCGACTCGTCATCAGCCTCACGGCTCCCCCTCGCTGGTCAAAGGATCGCTGCATACGAGAATGCTTTAACTCCAACCGTTCCCAGACAGCCCCTAGGCTTCAGGGTCATCAAGCGCGCCGGTAGTGAGATCGCGCGTGTTCATCTCGAAGACTTCCCCAACGGTAGGCTCTCTCGCTCTCTTTCCCGGCCCAATCCGGTGTAGTCTAGCGGCTGTATCGATTCTGACCCGGACATGTAGAGATCTTGACACACATACTCTCTCACCTCCACCCCGACTCGCACGCCTCCGTGGCCTTAGTGTCGAAGCGCTTCTACGCCCTCGTCACCACGCCTCATGCTTGGCGCATGGCCTTCCAGCGTTTCTTCCCTGCGCAAGATGCTCTGTCTATCGTGCGTCAGCCGCAGGGCGTCGGTTGGGACAACGAGGACAGCGATATGGTCCGGTCTGAAGTGCGGGTCTTTGCGCGCCTGACTCCACACGCCTCTTGGCGCAGCGAGTATCTTTTGAGAACCCGCCTTCTCCGCAGTCTGGCTAGGGGAAAGCCCGGTGCGAACTCGGCTGCGGTCAGTGCATCTTCGCGTGCCGGCCAGACTGGCAAGAAGGCCGCTGCCGTTCTGACCTACAACACCAAAGTGCCCTCGGTCATCACCCATGTCCACGCCACCTTCAAGCCCAATGGTAAGAAGCCACCACGGGTCATCCACGGTGCTGCCGACTTGGGTGTCGGTAGCGCCAGCGATCCCACAGTCGGCAAGGTTGAAAAATGGGGTCTAGACGATCCTTTTGCCTTTGTCCAGCTGCATGAGCTCACGCCCCAGCTCATACCTTACGGAATGGGAGAGGGGCCTACGGCCGTGCCTAATGTCATGGATGTTAGCCAGCCATACGGTCTCGTTGGTGGCGAGGGATTCCCAGGTGGCCGTGTCTTCTTTCGGCCCACTGGAGAGTATAGAGGGAAATATCTTGGCCAAGAACCTGGCCTAATCGAAGCCCATCCAGATATTCCCAAGATCCCTGAGCTCTCGGAAGGCATCTGTTCTGTTTGGGTTGCCAAATCATCTTCTGTGCCTGCCGTCACTCAATCTATGATTGGTATCATGACTGGATCATCTTTGGGCGTTGTGACAGCTTATGCCCTCGGTTATGAGCCCTCCGGTCCACGGTATACCCCTGGCGAAATAAGCGCTCGCTGGGTCCTCAGCCCCGGTGTGCCTATAATTGCCCTCAAAATTGATGATAGCTACAACCTGAAGAGGAGAGCTTCGAATCGTGTATGGGCGGTTGCGCTCAATGCTTTGGGCGAAGTCTATTACTTGACTAACCCGCCAAATCCACCTGCCAGCAAGACCAAGGCCGATGATAGCGCCAAATTGGCTTGGCATACTGGTCGCTCAACTTATTGGCATCTGGTCGAAGGCACCCGGCGCCAGGCACGTCCTGATCACTCGGGAAGAAACGCCGTGCGAGGTAGCTACTCTCCCCGGTCGCCCTCTAATGCTATGAGCCTAGGAAGGGACCAAATGATTGCTGAGGCGCGAGAGATTGAGAAATTTCTCCGCTATAAGCCTGCGCATTTTCGAAAGGTTTGTTATGGCTGGGATATGCGTCGACGATTAGAGGTAGACTTCGCCAATGACGACGAACTGGGCGCGGGAGAAGGTTTCTTGATCATTGATTGCGCCCTAGAAGATGATACAGCCTGGACTCTCAGACGTTTCGTTCGGACTATAATAGGTCCACCCGAATTGAGTGCGACGTCTTCTCAGGCGACAGAGTCGATACCAGAACCAGCACACCAACAATCGTTATTCGGCGGGAACACAGCTCCATCTAATTCCCCAAGTTCCTCCAGTGTTCCTTTGCTCAAGAAGGTCTTGTCATCGTCTCGTGAACGCGCTCCTACTCCTATTTTTACGACATCAAAAGGGTTAGACGATTGGGTAGAGACTGCATTTTCGTCGAAGGAGTTGGGCAAAGTTTCGATCACTTCTAGTGCTATTGATATGTCACTCATGGCATTGGTTACATCCTCCGAGGATCCTCTGAGAGATGGCAGTGACCCCTCATTTAGCGGTCCTGCCACGCCGTCGGGACAGCTACCCTCTGACATCCCTGGCCGGAGAGCAAGGTTGGTTGGTGTAGGTACCAGTACCGGAGAAATAGTAGTCTGGAACATGCGAGCCAAGCATACGGGCGATGGTGTTTGCCCCGTCCGTGTGATCCAGACGGAATCACCTAAGATTTCCTGCTTAGCTCTTTCAGCACTCTATCTAGTTCATGGAGGAAGTGACGGTCTCGTTCAGGCTTGGGATCCCTTGGCTTCGACTTTGGAGCCTATTCGTACGATCAATTCCCGCTCCCCCACTCGCATGCCTCGTCATCTTCTTACTCTCAATCCGACGCTGGCGGATGCCGCCTTCTCCGCTGTCGGCGCCATCTATCTAGATCCTGACCCAACTGTCCTTCACGGAGTTGTGGCTTTCGGCACTTTCGTGCGCTACTGGGCCTATAGTTCATCTAATCAGCCCTCCGGTCGCAGACGGAGGCTACGACACTCGGATCCTCATGGTCGCCCTACAGGGCGGCGTCATGGCGGAGGTGTCAAAGGCTATATTGCTGCGGAGGCCGAAGAGCTCCGTGACGAAGAGCGACATCGCGCCCGGGAGCGGGCCAGACTTCGATCACGTTTCGGAGTGGGAATCAACAACTTAAGCGAAGAGGAAGCTCTTCAGTATGCCGAGATGATCTCTCAAGAGTCGTTCCTGCAAGATGAGCAGCGGCGAGTCAGTGCCAGTGACACTGGCTCGGCTGCGAGTCTCGACACCACTTCAACAACTGGAAGCATGGACACTATCACACCCGACCCCAGCGTTGTCGACATGACTCCACCAGCGGGAAACACTAGCGCCACTGCCGTTACCATAAGTGAGAGTGAATACGAACTACAAATACAAACGGCTATTCGACTGTCTCTAATGGAGGGTGTTAACGATTATGGCCGTTCCCCGATAGGCAATAGTTCAGGCGATTTTGACGGCCCCATCACTTTCAAACACAAAAAGGGCAAGAAAACTTCTTCCAGCTCTGCGTCGTCGAGCCATACACCTATGATCAAGCAAGTCGGATCATCGTCGAAGTCAATGGAGGCTACTCATTCGACTGCTGACGATGACTTGGAGCTGGCGCTGCAGCTAAGTCTCGCTGAGGAGGAAAGTAGAAAGGCGATCGTCAATTCGAAAACGAACGACGACCAATTTCCTCCGCTCGATGGCGATGGATGGGGAAAGGGAAAAGGAAAGGCAGTGTGAGCCTTGTTGCTATGAGAAGAGGGAGTAGTCATTAACATAAATTTCGCTTCTATGTTACCTGTTTGTTCTATTCTTGCCGAGTGGCTTAATCGATTTTTGCTTAACACTTGCTGTAGTAGTATACATTTTGTCTTATATGACGCAAATATAACAGTTCAATCCCCCCGCACAAACCACAAGACTGCTGTAGACGGACATTTGGGTTGTGACCAACGACTTGGACAGCACCTTGCTTGAGTTAATGATGTTGTGTCGGAAACATTCTGCGACAATGATACGTAGACGGTGATTAATCTGGAAATCTTCATACATCGGTCTGGTGGTCTAGTGGTATGATTCTCGCTTAGGGTACACCCTACAGCACTTGCATGCGAGAGGTCCCGGGTTCAATCCCCGGCCAGACCCGACAGATGGGAAACCGTCATTCACTTCTTTTTGTTTGAATTGATTTTTTCTCTTTACGACAATCGGTTTTTAGGTGCTTGTAGCTCACGCTTATGATCACGGGCGCATAGTGCTGTTCTTTTTGTAACAAACAGATAATTGATCTTGCATTGTACGGAGTACTGCCATGCTGATTCCTTGGGCTGATACATAATTAGATACTACATGTGTAGGTTACTTACACGCGTACTTCGTACGCCTACATGATTACTAACAGAGTAAACGGTTTTGCAATCAACGTATCTAAATATGTTCTCTTCTTCCGGCATACGAGTTCATGATTCAGTAAGTACAAAAATACTCATCTATATATCAATATTTCTGTCATCGTGCAGATCTAACAACATTGCGGCATAGTGCACCAAACTCACGGGTTATACTTCACTCAGCAATTACTGTGCATAGCTGCTTCTCCTCGCCTCTAGGAGACTCCGCGGTCAACAGCCCAGGATATCCTTATATATATGTAGATACCAGCTGTTGTCTATGTTATATATACGCCAGCGATGCTTTTGTTCACCCCCTATAGTTCTTGGTTCCTATCCCTATATAGGCGTATAATTATGGTTCAGCAAGCAAGGAAATGGAGCAGGTAGTATGAACAATACTATTCTTTTGTCGTTGAACGGCCAGGGGCGACAGGCGTAATTATTCCATAGCAAACGAGCAGCATGCTGTACCCTAGTTCTATCCTCGTAAATCGCCCGAGTGCTTCGGCGGAGATCCTTCGAATTGAAGTACAGGCCGTGGAATTCGAAAGATGAAAGTAACGAGCATTACAGAGCTGCGTGGTCAGGTTTGAATTTTCCTATTACATTGACATCTACTTCGCAGGTTCGTTTGAAACACGATTGTGCCTTAGATGAAATAGTTAAACCTCTCCAAAGGAACTACGATTGAAGACAGACGCAAAAACAACGATCGTGAGCTTTAATAGCATGTATTTTCTTTGCTCAAATGAAGAGGGCGCATTGCTTCTCTAATCTAGCTATTTTTTAAAGTAAAAAACAAAATTTGCAATTGCAGGAGACCTAGGGTCTATCGCTTGTCGTGTAGTGCACTGCTACGTATAGCGGGATCTGCAACTAACGTTCCTCGTTACCACGTGAATGCTAATTGATTCCTTCGAACATAGCTCGTCTCCTGCTAGCCCATGCGTGAACGTGGGCTCAATACCGAAACCACTTAACTGAATGGTATTGTCGTTGCTGATATATAAACTCCATTGGTCCAGGTAGGCTTTATTCCGCGCCGTGACTAACCGTCAGGCCCGTGATCCCGCGTTGGGAATACCAGTTCCGCTCCGAGATGCTGCCTCCACCAATGCTCTTTAACTAATATTTATTCGATCCAGTAATATGAGGCCCAATTAACAACCAGAAGATAGTGTTAGATGACCGTTAACTCCGTCGCTAGCCCAGATATCCGTGTAGGCATTCCATGTATGCATGCATATGCCCAAATAGGCATAAAATAGACAGCGCGAAAATAAAAAATAAAAAAAGAGATGAGATGCGTCTAGCAAGCCAATTAATGGGTAGATAGTATATGGGTGTCAAGGCCTTGAGTCTTGAGTTTCGACGCAAGAAGATGACCTGGAAAAGTCACGGCGTGCCATGTTGTAGCAAGAATAAGTGTCACCGTTCTTCTTCCCAGCTATAGCGTTGGTGAGCCATTTGAGGAACGTGAACAATATCAAAGCCATCTATCCGTCCAAAAGCCGTTGTGTTGTCTCGCGTCACTACAACTCTGGCCTCCTCTTCTAGCGTGAAGTTGCTCCCTAATGTATCAGCAATGGACTGTCGCCTCGAAGGAGCCTCGGACGCAATAGTAGGCATAGTAGGTAGGACTGCATCGTGGCTTTGAGCACCAGTTGGTCTTTGCACCATCAACTGGCGTGGAAGTCGAACATTGTCGGGCAAAGGTCCAAGACAAACGACGTGCGAGGAATCGATTGGCGTTCGCTGTATTGCTGGTTGCGAGGGTATAGGGGCTGTGGCTTGGGAGCGAATGGAAGCGACGGAGGACGGAGAGCGTATAGGAGCCGCTGCATCGTTTAGGCCCGTGGGCGACGGTGGCGTATATGCCACGGTAGGATTTGAAATAGTTGATCTGGAAAGTGTTCGAGCTGGGAAGAATCCAGCCATGGGCGAAGGATATTCCCCAAGATAAGTTGAGCCGTCGCTTGGAGGAGTTATGGGAGAAGGCACCCCATACGTTTCGTGATCCTGAGTTGGACTCGATGTAGGCGAAGGGCTATCGCGATAGTGGGTGTTTATCGGCGGGGGGAGGTGGTGGCCAAGTCTATTGCCGGTGTTCACAGGCTCTGAGATGTGTTCATGTTCCCCTGGTTGAGATGGCTGGGCCCATTGTTGTGGCCGTTTATACGAGGTTGAACCATGAATATCATCCCCCGCAGGAACCGCGAAGTAGGCACTTCTTGTCGTATTGGTGGCATCGAGTTCGACAGGTAACGAAGCCGGCATTTCATAACGTTCATGGCTCCAGTCTGCACCCACTTCATGAGTTTCGATACGATCCTCCTCTTTACCTTTAGCGCTACGACAATTCTTCGCTCGGGTTTTCTTTCGAAATAGATTCGTTGCTATAGGGCTCGTGGGTGACCCTGGATCAGTTGCTGTTTTTAAGTACTTTTCTTTATATTCCTCTGGTTCGTGCTCATTCTCATGATCCTTATACGGATTTCTCCTTCTTCGTATTAATACCACTGTTGTAATGGCTGCGATGGCCCCCAGACATACACCAACTACAACTCCCGCGATTTGATTCTGAGTTATAGTATGGGTTTGCTCTTCTTTGCGAGGCGGTCCAGGGTAGGGGCTGTCGGGAGAAGCGGCGATGGTTTGAATCGAGGTATCTCTTAATGGATTCGCGGGGAATCGAGCTTTATGTAACGAAAACAAACTCGTCTCATAGTTAGTGATGATATAAGCTTCTTGCAAAAATGAACGTCCTATAATGGGTTGACTCCCATTCTCGGCTCTTTTGAGCGGAAAGTAGGGAATTGCCGGTGCGCCATAATCTATCAAGTTCATGAATGGATACTGAAGGATCTGGACAAACGCATTTGAGGAAACGGTGATGTTCACGACACCGGACATATTCGTTGGCGATCCGAAGTTGTTCCTGTTATCCAAGCTGGACAATGTGAAGGTGAATGAAAGGTTAGGTGCCGACTTGTAACGCTCCAAGTTGTCATTGGAGATTAGATATAAGCCGAAGGTGTCATTCCACGTAAGATTCAGAGCACTGGCGAAGCGGTCGCACATTGCTGGCGGAAGCCATAGGTAAGGTGTGGAACTATCAATGGTAGCCGTTACAGATTCGTTAAAGGATGACAGTGGTATCGACGCTGCGGACCATTCGGTAGGTGCCTTTTCAACATCGGATACAGATGCAGTGATCGCCCTCACTAGAACCTGGGGTTGTCTCGTAGTACCATTCAGACTAAACTGAACGTCATGAGGCTCGAAGCGATTGGCATCGTAACCTCCTAGCGTCAGAGACATCGGAGTGCCCTTTGCGCCAGCTATTGATTGTCAGCATCCACTTGTTAGTGAAGTCGAGACTCGATATTTACCGTAATAAGCCCCGGGTGTATAACCGTAGCTGTGACTAGGTATCAACCCACTTTGCTGAACCAGGGACTCGACCGGGCCTTTTGCAACAACGCCGCCAAAGTTCCCTTCCGTTATGCCGAGACCAAAGAAGCCAGTGAAGGCGGCTGTATCGTTGATACCGGCGACAAGCAACTTATTAAATGAAGTCTGCCATCGTCGAACACTATCGTACACCACAACTGTTTCCATTGCATAGTCCCCATTGGCATAAATGCCGATCGCTTTGAGCCCGAGTTGCCATAATCCCATGGGCGACCAGCTTTTTGAAGCGGTTCTATTGAATACGCCTCCGCGAGCGTCATTGCAGAGGGGGCCTAGCGGGACAGTCAGCAAACTGCAAATGATACTGGTCCAGTACTCATTTCTCCAGGAGATTCCGGAACTCAAGCTTTCTTTTTTCCTCGCGCATTGAACACTTACTTCCACACCCGCTGGTTTCAACGACCCATACCTCAGAGATGCTCGTACTCACGACAACATCAACTTCCTGGGCAGGCTCGCCCACAAAAAGAGTAGTGGACGACCAATTGCCATCGATGCCATACCTAACCAATAGTTAGCCCTCGAATCCTCCTCAAAAAACAAAGCCAAACCTGCCATTTTAAGGACGGCTCGAGCCACAGCGCGCTGGGAGTATCGGTATCGGCATGAACCAGACTTGGTGCGAGAAACAGTGCCCCGACAATGGCGATGAGGGAGAACCTCTTTGACATTGTCTCGCGGTCGCCGCACCACCTGACGGTCGTACACGAGCCCGAGGTCACCACTGGTCCTCCCAATGCTTCATGGGCTTCGCCAGGTCCCGAACATTCGCGTGGTCCAAATCCATCCGCTCCCCAAATTTCAAAACATCTGTCTTGTGCTGTGGTGATCTGAGTCTTGGGCCTGCACAATCAAAAATGGCGACGCGTCGTTAATTTGATCCGTAACGGCCTGGATCAGGTAAAAAGTTAAGTTGGACTGCCAGTGAGGCGTGATGTGTGCTGGAGAGATGGAGGTTGGAAATGAACTGAGACAACGACCTCTAGGCGCTGCAACCCCAGTGCCTACCTTAGTGTAGGATTCCTGGGGCCAGAGTCTGTGCCCCAGAAGTCCCGAGGTACCACGCTAAGATCCCATGCTTCGGGTATTCCGCTTTGGGGCGTGCCAAACATGGGTTTGGACACGCTAGTTGCACTAGATAGATGTGACGAGCGCTCTGCACGTGGAAGTCGAAAGGTACACTGTACAGTGTCTAACCTTGGCCAGTCCGTGAGTGAGAGCCGATATCCTCACCGCCAAGCATGTACCTACAACTATACGACTTCCAGCATACGAACC